TGTATTTTTTAAAAACTTTAAAGCTAAATAATTTCTGATCTACTAGTCAGTTTTAAATGATTTTATTACCAAAATGTGTCTCTTTGAGATAATTCCAACAAGCCCAAAATTATTAAAATCTAATTACAGGATCATGAGATAATGTACTGTCAAATAGTGACGCACCTGAGAGTGGGGTTGATTGGTTAGACATGGACTAACCAATCAACTCACCCTCTAGATGCATCACTATTTGACAGCGCATTATCTCATGATCTTGTGATTAGATTTTAATGATTTTGGGCTCGTTAGAATCATCTCAAAGAGACGAACATTTTGGTAATAAAATCATTTAAAATAAACCAGAGATCAGAAGTTATTTAGCTTTAAAGTTTTTTAAAAAATGCACTCTACTTATAAATTCCAAAAATCAGCCTATATGGTTCAGTTCAGGTTTAATTAAACTTGAACCTGAACCTAAATTGAACTGAACTGAACTTCGGAACACTAAGTTAAAGTATTAAGAGCAAGAAATAGAGAGTTAGAAAGATTATTACAAGTAAAGATAAGAGTATTTATATTAAAGCTTAAAGATAGAGAATTTCAATTAGAACAGGATAGAGTAGAGAATCAAGAGCAGAATACAAAATATATAGCTTTTGAGAATAGATTAAAGTCTAGGACAGTAGAAATAAATCAAATAGTACAAGAATTTTAATGGTTCTCAAGATAACATTATGTGCCAAATTAGTACTATATCAAATTAGATATATCTACCTTATTGTTTAAAACTTATCTTTATTTATTTAATATTTATAAAAATTTAAGGTTGTTTATAAAAGAAAAATTTATAATTTTTTAAAAATTTTAATTTTAAAAATTTTTTTTTTTTTTTTTTAGTTTTGCTTAATAAAAATTTAGATTTAACTCATTACCTTAATACAAGTTATAGAAAATTTAAAAGTAAATTATTTTTATTATTACTACAGTGCAGAAATTCTTAAATTAGTAACTAAAAATTAATAATTCTTTAAACTTTTATAAAAAACTAAAAAATATAATTAAAAAAAATTTTCTATAGAAATATATAAACAAACAAGCAGAACAAATCTATAAAGTTTATTTTTTAATATAACAAAATTTTATAATGTTATTTCTTTTTAAATTTACTAATAAAATCAAAATTTGACCACACATATATTAAAAACATAACAAAATTTTAAAAATATAATAAAATTTAAAAAAACATAATAAAATTTTAAGATATTTACCAATTAAAATTTAGTATTTGTTTTCAAATTTGACCACCTTTAAAAAAAGTTGTTGGTTTAAGGATTTCTGCACTGTACTTTTATAATTAATTAAGCTAAATCTAAACTTTATTTAGTAACAACTAAAAAATTTCTCTTTGAAAATATATAAAATTTTAAGAAACTTTTTAAAATTTTAATAGTAAAATTAAAAAATAAATTTTGTTAAAAGTGTAATATCTTTATCAAAATTAAAGATAAAATAATAAAATTTAAATATATTATTTATAAAAGAAAATCTTTAATTTTAATCAATAAATAGAGGGGTCAAGCTTAAATAAATTTTAAAAAAACTTTTTAAAAATCATTAAGCGGGCAAATTTGCCTGCTAGACGGTTTAAGGAATACATGTGACGCAAAGTAGTTGCCATTGGTATCTTAAATCTGAAAACCGATACAAAAACTGTCCACCATGCCTATCGGATTTAAGAGGGTATACTGTATATTTAATAGCGTTGACTCAACAAATGAACGTGCTTATAAAATTTTATATTATATGTTTATATAGAAGTTGTTTATAAGTACGACTGTAATTAACACAATTATAAATTTTATATATTATATTGATATTATAAGACAAATATACTAATAGTAATAAACGTTTAAACTTAGCCAATACAAGTCAATACAGTATTAACCTTGGTGATTTGAATTTAACTTTTCAAGAGCATCAAGAATTTTGTTGAGTTTTTCTTCATATTTATCGATTTTAATTCCAATTTCTCTAGCTTTTACTTCAATTGGTATATCAACTTGTGAAATTTTAAGAATTGAGTCAGACAAATGCGGTGAGAATGTATCTTCGCCTTCATTTTGTGCTTTTTTAACAAAATTTTGAAGTTCTTCAATCGAAGCTTCATAGTATCTAAAATACTTTAAACAATTAATTAAATCATAGTTATAACTTAAAAAAAAAAAGATTTGAGTAATAATTACAAAATATCGGGAAACCAATTTTTCTTTCTTCTTTGATAGGGTAGCATCCAAAAAAGTTCAATTTCAGCCAATATCTAATAAAAATAAATATAAAAGTTTTTATTTTTAATATGGTAATATAAAAACATTAAGCACAATTTTTTTTGAAAGTACCTCTCCTTTTAAATGAAGGAATGATTCAACATTATTCGTTTCATCAATTGCCATGCCAAGTAATCCAATAAACAAATTCATCAGATAAATTGTTGTAAAAAAAGAAAATATGGCCAACAAAAAGACTAATGTCCAATTATCTTTCAAAACCCAAGACGAAATTGAACTTGAATCTCCTAATAAAATTATTTAAATTTAAACAATATACAGTATTATATATTTATTAATACAACAAAAATAATAATACCTGTTAACATGAAATAAACAGCAACAATAGCGGTACTAAATAGAGCAAACATATTTATGTTTGCATCGGGAGTTTCAATAAGAGATGACCCATTTTCAATTGTACCATTAGGTAAAATAGGTTGATATCTCGTAGCAAGATTCCAAGGATTATTAACATCATCAGTATAACTTGGTTGGTCATAAGAATAATCAGAAATGGGCCTTAATAAGATATGCAAAGAATGCGCAAAAGCAAAAACAATAATTCCTAGAACCGCGATAAATGAAAAAATTCGTTGTGCCACGCCAACCATAATTGCAAAATAAGTTCCGAAATAATCAATAGCTCGAAGGTAAAATAAAAATTTGAGCTCAAGTAAAAGGACAGTTATAGTGAGGAACCAAACTGGAGGTGTTTTATCGAGCATCCATAAAACTGAGATGATGGTTGGAAAAGATAATGCGGCAAGATCTAGTGTAAATTCAAAGAAAGGTAAATTATATTAATATTAATAAAATTTATAAATTATATTTGAATTATACATAATTATATATACCGATCCAATTCCAAAAACTATAAAGATAAATATCAGGATTATATAATAATTGACGAATTTCAAAAGTGAGAAAAAAGGAACCAAGAATAATTGATAATGTTCGAAAAACTTGATGATTAGTCCGAGATATTGCATTTTCTGGTATAGTCGTTATAAAAGTAAAACATAACATATATATCGAATAAAGAGCCCATATCGCATAATAATATGATCTCCCATATGTTTCCCACTTGAACTTAATCAAAGCTTTAATATTCCACCATCTAAATTGGTCAGGAGAATCTAAAGAAGTAAAAAAATTATGTGGTGGAAATATCAATTCTTTCCAAATATAATAATCGTTAGAATATGTAGCAAAGTTTGCAGTAGGAACCATTAATTTAACAGTTTTTCGAGGATATGAAATAAAATAAGTCGAATAAAAAAAATTAATAATTGTATTTATATAAGGAAATTTAATTTTAAAAAATTTCCAACGAGTGGAAATCCAATAAGATAAATAATCTAAAGTGGAAGCTTGAGATAAATTCATGTAAGTCCCACAAAACATAAGATGGGACGAATGTGAATTATTACATAAAAACACCTCTTCAAAATAATCAGGAAGCAATAATGCGGTTTTTGATAAAAATCGATCGGAAAATCCAAAATTTTCATCTAAGAATTCTAATTTTACAAGCAAGGCAGAAATGTTGTCAATTAATTCAGTGAATGTGTAAATATTTCCATCCTTAATCGATAATAAAGCTTGTTCAAGAGAATAATTAAATACTCTCACAACTTTATCAAAATCTTTTTTTCGAATTAATTTTCGGATTAGATCCATTCCATATAATGATAAAAAGAACATATCATTCATGTAAAATTCTAATAAATCCTCAAATGAAAACCATGATCTAGTACTCGTATCCATATAACAATCATGCGATGGATGAGATATTAATTGGCTGAAGCTTGGAGGAGGTAGAGAGTTTTTAGAAAACACCAATTTATCGTTAAGAAACTCAATTTGGTCAACGACTAATTCATAATAATATGCATTGGGTTTAGCGATTTTAACTGAACCCCAATAATAAAGTAACTTGATTCCATGATCCTTAACTACTGTCCAAACAAATATTCCTTTTGATGAAATTGCCACTATATCTTCACTAGTAAGTAGTTTAATGTCAGATAAAAAAGTCTGTATTTTATTTCCAACTTTGCTCCATGCTAAAGCTTTATGATCAAATATCCAGGCTGTTAGAAAAGTATTATCATCAGTTTCCTCAACAATCCAAGTATATAAGTATCCATTATAATATCTTTTTTTTTTAATTACTCTGGTTTCATTATAATTTAGATAAATTTTAGCCTGTGCCAAAGTGTCTTCCATCATCAGTTCTATTTCTTCAGCACAAAATTGTATTTGAATTCTATTATAGTCATGGAGCTCTTCACGTAAATATTCGGTCCATTCTTTAGTCTCACGGACCAAAGTTTGAATCCATAACTTGTTGTCCCAGACACCCACAATAAAATCAGAGATGACAACATTAGGATACAGGAATTGCTCTGATGCATCTTGGCTATTCGATTCGCTGTCTAATCTAAGTTGGAATAATTTCCTTGCATCTATAGGATTATCGCAAGTGTGTGGAACCATAATGTAAGAAATTTTATAAAATTTAACAAGTATGCGTTCTTGCACCTTTGATGAAATAAAATTTACACCAATTATGCCATACGTATGAATATCCTCGAATACGTCTGAATATTAAAAAGTTGAAAAAAAAATTATAATAGAACCTATGGTAATTATTTACAGAGAATATAAAGAAAATGCTTACGTTTTGATAGCATTATACTTGAACTAGTCGAATAAATATTAACAGCGTCCTGCTTTCGATTGAATACAGCTAATAATGTGTTGTCAAAATTCATTTGCAGATCTATATAATCTTTATCTTTAAACATATTCAAATCTAATACATATTGAGCCTCAAATTTTAGGGATTCCAAATTCCATTGTGTAATTACAAAAGGTATCTCTGAGAGAAATAGTATCTTTCCTTTTGGAAGAACGAAACACTTGTAGAAATTTTCAAGACTGATAACATTTATGCACTCCCACTGACGATGGCCATTAGAGGCGGTGAATGAAAGGATGTAAACTCGATAAATAGGATTTCCTTTGACAATGACTAAATTTCCATTTTCAAGAAAACAGATAGCTTCATAAGCAGAAAGCGCGCTTAAACCTTGGACTTCAAATTTTTGCAGTACTTTTGTTTTTAGATCGATTATTCCGTATATCTCATCAAAATAAAAGGTATCCTTGTATTCTTCTGTTGGTTTAAAAAATACAAATAATTTTTTAATTTGCTAAAAATACACACATCATTAATAATAATTAAAATAATGATCCAACTTGCCAACATAACAAAACCTCTGACATCCGAAAATAACATGTTTATGATCAGAGACATCTATTAAAGAGTAGTTAACCTTAAAGTCGTCAACGTAATTGATGACATGAGTTGGAACATTCTTAAGATCACCCATAGTAATACGAATCGGTAAACTGCTAAGATCCTGACGAGTAAGTGAATTGTCAAAGTTGAGTTGATGCTGTCCTTCTATAACTGACCACCCGCAAATTGATTTATCATCGTTACTCCAAGTTGCGACATATTTGACATTCGGTGAGCAAACAATATGAGTTATTTCTTCCCCATTGTGTGGGAAGATATCTTCTTTAATGGTAATTTTAACTTCTCTATCTCCATCTCCTGATAATAGTGGTATCGGTATTATTTCTTTCAACTCGTCCTCTTCTTCACTCATTGTTCTAGGAAAAAAAAAGTTCTGGTTCATATTTGATTATAGAATATAATATGTCGCATAATATTTATTGTGGCACAATCTAATAACAATGTTATGAACACGATAGCATTAATTTTAACGAAAATCAGCTACCGTTTATACAATTGGGATAAAAAATTGATAGATGGCAGTGCAAGAATGAAAAAAATTTCATTTATATTATTACTTATTTGTGACAAACAGTGCGCATAGCCTCTCAAAACAGATATCGTCGACATATGTATCAACTATTTGTCATGTCAACATTGTAATTAGCATATATCTTCTATACGTATGTATGTGAATGGCCGCATGTGCAAAGATACGGTGTGTTCCTGAAAGCGGACAAAGTAAATTTAGACGCATCATTATAGGCTGTCGATTTTCAACCATCGTGGCTTTAATTGTTTATAACTAGAAGTTCGCGGTTGGAAATTACGTTATCATATCTAGAAATAATAAAAAACGTGTTTTGTTTATACATGTTTTTCATTTATTATTAAACGCACCTATGGTGTTTTTACACCGCTTATGTGATCTTATGTTTTTTTAAATTTTCTAGATTTTTCTAAATTTCCCAAATTTTTGCACGTACTGTACATAAGCATTTTTATATCAAATTTTTTCACGTTGAGGTCAGTATTTTAAAGTTAAATTTAAAAGTTGAAAGGGTTTTTGGTGTGTAGACCATTTTATTTGAGCACTACATACCAATTAATTAGCCAGTTTTAAGTATATATATATATATATAGAGAGATATGTTTTAGCGAAAGTACTATTTTTAAATGTGCCCATATTGTTTGAAGTTTAAAAGAATGAACAAGATAAGTAATTGTTTGGAGCCAAGATATATTGTGGTATAAAATATTTTAGAAATTAAGCTTTATAATTCTGTAAATATATAATTTTTAAAATTTTAAATAAATATATTTAAATAAATATTTAATAATATTTAATAAATTTTTTTTAAATTTTATAAATCTATAAAATTCAAATAAAAAATTAATTAAAAATTTGCTTGCTATTTAGTTATTCACAAAATCAATATAACCTTAGAAAAGTGATACTTATTAGCTAAATATACCCTTCTGAAAAATATCAATTAATTTTTTGGGGTTTCTAGAGTCAGTTATTTGACAATTATAAATTTTATAAAGTCAATAATATAAATTTATAAATATTGCATTTTATATAATTGAATATTTGTATACATTCTTGCAAATTTATATACAGTATATTTATATATAAATATGTATAAATATGTATAATTATACAAGAAATATATATATACAGATATACAAGAGACATATGAGCACATTTATAGAATTAAATTAAGGTTTTTTTAGAGGTTGTTTTAGGGCTCTGATGTTTGATTTGGTTCAGTTTGGGTTTGACCAAACTTCAAACTCAAACCAAACTCAAACAACAAATTTTACTAATTTCAAACTCAAACTCAAACTCAAACCTGTAAAATCAAACTCAAACTGAGCTCAAATATAATTATAAGTTTGATTCGGGTTTGGGTTTGAAGTTTGCAAACATGTTTGGGTTCAAATAGATTAAATATAAAAATCAATATAATCAATTCGATATGATTTACATGTGTGTGTTCAACAAAGTATAATCAAAATTTTATATACATATGCAAAATATTTCAAATACAATTGTTTTAACAAATAAAATACATGCCATCAAGAGAAAACCTGTTATCGGCTTTTAATTATATTTTGTGTCTAGTTTATTTTCTGAGTACCGTCTAGAGAAAATCTAGCATTTGACTTTCAATTATATTTATAATAACTTATCATACAATATAATTGAAAGCCTGATGATAGGATTTCCCTAGATGATGCTCAGAAAACAAACTGGTCATAAATATAATTGCAAGCCTGATATGCTTTCTCTTGTCAGCACTTATATGGAATACCAGATATAGGGAGTCCTTGTTGATAGAAATCAAAATTAAGGGTAGGGTGTATATAGATCATTTTTATATAGTAAATAAAAAAATACTTCTAATTAAGGGTAGACAGTATGTAGATCATTTTTCATATGATCATCATGTGATTTTAAAATTTTGCTATAAAATTGAAAGTTGTCACTAATAAAACTTTTGCAAATTACAATTAATATTGATCAAATTTTTATAATATATAGATAAAAGTATTTATCTATTATAGTAAAATTTTGAACTATTATATTTTATAAA